GTGGAACTTACGTGAACCCAGTCGCCTTGATTAGAATTAGATTGTATATGTTCGACGCGATTGGCTACGTTTTCTAATTTCTAGCAGGAGATGCTAACCATGATAATATGATAGTCGAATCGGTTCAGTTGTATTCACGATTAATTTTAATATAAAGGGTTTTTAATAATTTGTCCTTAAGATCTACTAACAGTACATCTCCGCATAGTTGCAGTCTCGGTAACGAAAGATTTTTTAACGGTGCTACTCTTGATTTTGAGCACAATAAATTACATGAATATCGTCCGTTTCTATGTGGAGTTCTTAAATATATGCATGCCCCGTAGGCCTTTTCTGACGCATCGCAGAATGAGTGTAATTCGGTTGTTACGATGTCATCAGTGCTAACTACTGCTTGTCTAGGTATTAAAATTTCCTTCAATTTGTTTATGTTGTCGACAAAACACAACCACTCGGTATAAATGTGACTAGGCAGGGGCTGATTCCAATCTATTTTTAGGCACCATAGTTTTTGCATTATAATTTTTGCTGACGTAATCATTGGTGAAATCAAACCTAAAGGGTCAAACAGTTGACATATTGCTGACAACATATTACGTTTTGTTTTTGGATTAATGTGATAATTGCTAAGATCTATTTTAAATGAATCGGATTTTGGATTCCACCAAAGACCTAAAGTTTTAATGTCTTCATTATCGTTAATTAATACCAAATTTTGTTGACTGTTCAAGTCGGATAAAATTTCTGACGCGTTTGAGGCCCATTTGTTTAATTCAAATCGTGCGCCTAGGAGAACGTTTGTTACTTCATTTTTAATTTTCGTAATTTCTTTAATGGAGTTGGCACCGGTAAGGAGGTCGTCAACGTAAAAATCTCTTAACACAATTTCGCTTGCTGGTGGATATGTGTTTTTTGCTTCTATCGCGGCTTGTTGCAAACTTCGTATGGCAAGAAATGGCGCACTCCTTGTACCGTAAGTTACCGTATTTAGACAATAAGTTTGTAATTCCTCGTCTGGACTTGTTCGCCAAAATATGCGTTGCCAACTTTGATCATTTACATCAACCTTAACTTGCCGATACATTTTGGTGATATCGGCTGATAATGCGAATGAATATTTTCTAAATCTAGCTAAGATTGAAAACAAGTCTTCTTGTATTGTTGGACCTAACATTAATTTATCATTAAGACTTAAATTATTCGTGGTTTTAGCGGATCCATCAAAAACTATACGAATCTTTGTCGTTAAACTACTCTCTTTAAAAATCGCATGATGTGGTAAATAATATTCGTTGTGATTGTTTGTTTCGATTTTTAATAATTCCATGTGCCCTAATGTTTTGTATTCTTCCATAAAGTCGGTATATCTTTGTTTTAATAAGGGATTCCTTTGAAATTTCTTTTCCAAACTATAAAAACGTTTAAGAGCTATTTCTCGTGAATTGCCTAAAGTGACATCGTCTTTGAGAGGTAAACGAACAACGAAACGTCCCGAATTATCGCGCTTAAAATTGTTTTTAAAATGGTTTTCGCATTCGTTTTCGGTCATAGTATTATTATTTTGGTTATTATTATGAACAGACTCTACTTCCCAGAATTTAGCTATTTGATTTTCTAACTGTATTAAATTACATGATATATAATTTTTCGGTTTCAACTGCCGGGGAAATAAAATTGTACCACCTAATATCCAACCTAAATGTGTACATTGTAGACTAAGATTTGGTGTTAATTTGATATTCCCTACACATAATAAGTCCCAGAACAGTTCAGCACCAATAAGTAAATCAATGTCTCTTGAAGTATTAAATGTGGGATCTGCTAATTGAATGTTTTCTGGAATTGTAAGATGGTCCTTAGGAAAAGAGGTCGCAGGTAATCTGCCCGTTAATTTTTGCATGACTATACAAGTTATATTCTTCGTGTAAGAATTTAACCGTGATTTGATTTTCAAAGTTGTTTGATTATGAACCTTGACAACATTTTCGTTAATGCCACCTATTGTGAAGTTTGTTTTAGAGACCGATAAACCTAGTTTTTTACAAAAACCTTCACTTAATATATTAAGTTGCGATCCCGGATCTAATAATGCTCTACACGCTTCTGGTTCACCTTTATTGTTGTAAGCGAATACTACTACTGTTGATAATAAAACTTGCATGTTTGTTGATTGAGGAAAATAAGAATGATTAACTAAAGAAGAAGTTGATGGCTTTGGTTCTAACATTGGATCTGTACTGAATTCTTGATTTCTTGATTGATTTTCAATGTGTAACATAGTATTGTGTAACTTACTACATTCGTATAACATTCTCGTGTTTATGGTTTCCTCGAAAACAATTTAAACAGAGATTGGTTTTTTGTATACAATTTATACGTTCTAATATCGACATATTAATAAACTTATCACACTGATTAATATAATGATGCGACTTACATAAAGGACAAGTTATCTTGGTTTTAACAACAAAAGTGTTTAATGAATTTTGTTTTGGTTTTGCATAGGAAAGTTTGTTGGCATTTTTATTTAGTTGACTAATTGGTTTGTCAAGTTATATTTCTTAGTTTGTTCTAATGTTTCTAAAAGTTGGCAACGTTTTGTAAGAAAGTCTATCATATTCTCTAATGAAGGTAAATCTGATGTCATAGATGATTCCCATTCCTTTTTGCTTAAGAAATCTAGTTTGCTATTGATAAGATAAATTAATAATATATCCCAATAATTAACTGGCAATTGAAGTGTTTTTAAGGATCTAAAATGTGTATTAAATGAATCTAATAATTTTCTTAAAGAAACGGATGATTCCTTTTGAGTAGGAGGTAAATTAAATAATGCGTTCACGTGACTCTGAATGATTAGGCGTTGATTTTGATATCTATTTTTTAGGAGTTGCCATGCAGATTTATAATTTTCGGCCGATGCTGTTAACGAACTGATAACCTGAGCGGCTTCGGATTTTAGGCACATTTTTAGATAATGAAATTTTTCAATATCAGTCAAACTTTGGTTTTCGTTGATTACGGAATTGAATAAGTCATAAAAAGATAGCCATTCTTCATAATTACCACTAAATTGAGGTAAATCGATTCTTGGTAATTGAATGTGATTATTTGGATCATTAGAGTGATTTTGATGACTGTTTGTATTATTGTTAGGTTGTCCATTAGACATTGCATGATTATTTAAAGAATCGATTTTATCACCATAATCTGCTATTAAATTATAATAATTAGTTTCAAATACTTCACGCTCATTTTTAGTTAATTCAGACTCATCAAGTAATTCAATTTGTAATTGCACATCATCAAACTCTTCTATCAATTTATTTGCACCTTCAAACCTAGCAATTAATTGTTTTTTCGATTGAACTTGTTCATTAAATGTTGTAAGAAAAGTGCTTAGTCTAGTTATTTTTGATTTAATCGCTCCTCGTTTAGCATGAAGAGATTTGATGTCTGCCATTTTTTTAATTTATAATTGACGCAAGTAAGATTTAAAATAACACTCGAAAAGATTGTACACTGAATTAAAACAAGGAAAATAGGATATATGGGAAGCAAATTTATCCACTTACTGTTTTTGGTGAGGTGATTGATTGGACTCTGTAGGACTTGTCAATCTTCTGGAATTGGTAGCTGAAGTCCTCAGATTGAAATCGATGTAGTTTGAAGCACCTTGATAAAGATGCTTTGTTGAACTTGTTGTTGATAAAGTAGCACTAGTTTTTTAGGAATCCGGCTCGAAGGACCAATAAACTGTCGGATGTGGCGGTATCCCGCCTTTCGTTTCTTTTGGTTATTACCACTTTGAATAAAATGGACTGTATTCTCCTTACTAATTGTTTTTTATTTACACTATAATACACNCTGAATTAAAACAAGGAAAATAGGATATAAGGGAAGCAAATTTATCCACTTACTGTTTTTGGTGAGGTGATTGATTGGAGTCTGTAGGACTTGTCGTTCTTCTGGAATTGGTAGGTGAAGTCCTCAGAATGGTATCGATGTAGCGGAAGTTTGAAGCAGCTTGATAAAGATGCGTTGTTGAACTTGTTGTTGATAAAGTAGCACTAGTTTTTTAGGAATCCGGCTCGAAGGACCAAAAACTGTCGGTTATGGCGGTATCCCGCCTTTCGTTTCTTTTGGTTATTACCACTTCGAATGAAATGCACTATATTTTCCTTAATTAATGCTTTTTATTTACACTATATTACACATAATTTTAAACACTTGCATTAATAAATTGTATAATCAATTTGGTTGTTGTACATATATTGGGTTTTATTGGTTTAGAATTGTTTGAATTGTTGAGTTGATGAATATGAATCGAATTGATTTTGGATATGAATTGATATGAATCGAATTGATTGTTGGATATGAATTGATATGAATCGAATGCCTTTCATGCTTTCAAATTTCAGTATTTATAAAAGGTACTGAAGAAAGCGACACGTCCTAAACAGGCAACTTTTGGGGTAGGTAACTGACCTTACTGGTCTTGTCTTCTGTGAAATACCGAACCCCAATAAATTCGGTATTTCCGCCAATATCATAAATTTATGGTTGGTCGCAGATGTTTACTTAACAACTACTTTGAATTTATCCTACACTATAGACCTAATAAAATAAAATATTCAGAAAAACTACTTAAGATATATGTACAGTAATGTAAAAATAACACAACACCAAACAACTACAATTCACATTTTTTATAATATACATTAATCATGATTGGTTTTTCCATTACAACTGAGATCATGAATACGAAGAACGTGTTCTTATTGCATAGCCCCTCCAGAGGCGGGATTCGTTTCAGCAAGTAGATATCCATATATTTCAATGGACCTTGTTGGAGCATACGTAATCCTAAAATGTAGCATCGTACTACAGATGGCGTTTACCGCGCCATTTGTGGTATTTTCTAAGATGCTACTAAAATTTAAATGTATAATGAAGTTATGATAGTGTGTTATTAATTTATATATCTCCTCTTTGTACAGGTAACATAGGAGAACGAATGTTAGTTAAATTACTTTTGAAAACTTCTGTTATTTGGATCTTCTCGTTTTGCAAACTGCATTCCGATGGTGATTGAGAGGAGGAGAACTTCTTCTGTAGGAGGATGCGGGGCAAGAGGGGAGAAGTTGGTAAGCGGAGAGCGCTGACTCATTCTGTTGTTGAACTTTGAGTGGTGTAAATAGAAAAAATTGGGAAGGATGTTTGCCAAAAATGTACGGAAGTGCCGTTTTGGGAAATGTAGGACGGGTGTTGCAGGTAGTGCTGTATTAACTGAATGTATTTACTGAAATTTTTTGTATTAGTTGTGTAATGTTTGATACAATTACGTTTTTGTTTGCAGTATGATATTGTTGGAGTCGTTACGACGGTGGTGGCGTTATCCGTTGTCACAACCACCACGACTGTGGCACCGGGTAGGAACAAACTGGGATCTGGCGAAAAAGTGTGGCTTCGACATCCCGACGTGGAGCGGTTTGGTTGTTTCTCGTGTATTCATTGTCTTTTCGCCATTCAGACAAACAACCAACACAATGGTATCCATCACCCCGTTGCGATGCAACATTTGTCGACGTCTTCGTGAAAGCTGTGACGTTGCAACAGGACTATGTTAAGAATGTCTTGATTACACACCTCTACTTTTCTGTCACATCTGCAGAATGTATCACGTCGATGTTGTTAACTGCTTCTGTCGACCTTGTCAGGGGATTCACTCATACTTCTGCGTCTACTTTATGAGATCGACGATACACACACACTTTCCTGTCTATTCTGTACAACAGGAGATCAAAGGCGTCAGCTCTTTCGATCTATTATGCTGACTCTAACTTTCCACTAAGTTTTTATTTCATTACATAAAAGTTGGTTAGTTCTTCTGAGTTCACCTAGTTCTTTTCTTCAAGATATTTAGTAAGTTATTGTTATTTTTTGTGGTTGTTTTGTTCCTGTTATTGTAAATAGTTTCTCCATCATATGTTGTGATTATTAAAAGTCATAAAACAAATTCTGTGTTACTGTTTTCTTTTTTATTTCAACGCGCCATATTAGTTCAGTACAATACAAAAGCTAACCGAAAACACTACAGTGACGTTACGTATACACTCCGCTTGAGACCCGACCTGAAGAATCTATCCTGATGAAATTGTAATTAACTATTTCTACTTCATGATCTTCGTTTTGTTCCGTTAAGTGTGTTTCCGTTAGGCATGAGGTAAAAGCCGGATAGTTGCCCCATTTTTCAAAAAATATGTACTTACGAAAAATAATGCAAGTTGTATATCAAAAAATTTAGGTCTTTCATCTTTTGTAAGAGCGTATTTGTGTAAACATAAAAAATATTTTGAGTAAATCCTGTTTTCTTTGACCTTAAAAAAGGGATAGCTGCCTACTGTAGCGGATAGTAGCATAACGCAAAAATGTTACAGGGGATACTTACCTCGTGCGGGTATAGACGCCTCACTATGTTTTTTTTTAAGAGAAACGTATTGGTTTATATAATTAGCCTTTATTATTTACTGGGATCCTTTATTAAGCACTAGTCAAAATATTAATCAACATTATAAAAACATTATAAAATAGTATTCGAAAAAGATTGTTAACGGTCATGGTACAATAAAGCAAGGTATGATATCTAGCCGTTTCAAAATCGTCCGGTTCGCGCAGTGACGTCACCGCGTGAGTATATTTTAAGTTACTGATGAAAATGCACGTAAATATTCCTAACATTGCATTATATTACACCTGCTTTTCTTTCTCTTGAACGAAAAATTGATTTTCACGACTCGGCAAAATTAAAAATTTTTACCAAAGTGACATCCACCCGTGGTAGTGGATAACTGTCTTTCTTGGTTACGTTGTTGAGCTGTCGGTAATCCACACTAAAACGGGTTGTCCCATCCTTCTTTACCAATACTACCGGTGATATCCATGGACTTGAGGATGGCGCAATTATGCCGGTCTCCTGCATTTGGCGGATTATTCGCTCTGCTTCTTCCTTCTTGGTTAGGGGCAATCGTCTAGGTCTTTGACGAATAGGGTGCGCATTACCGGTATTGATCTTGTGTTTTACGATATTAGTCCTACCTCTATAATTCTTGTCAGTCTCAAAGACGTCGGCATTTTGACAAAGTAGATGTTGCACTTTGCATTTCTTCTCATTGGTTAGATTCGTACAATGACTGTCCATCACTTCACTTATTTCAACAGGTACTGTTTCAGAATTTACCTTTCGGGCTACAGCTTCCTGTCTATCTATCTATAGAATTCTTCGCCATTCAGTCTCAGAACGCGTCTCCTGAAATTCATGTCAAAATCGTATTTTTGTAAAACTTCCAGCCCAAGAATTACGTCATCTTCAATATCTGCCACAAGCACTCGATGGTCAAAGACAGTCTTACCCATTTCAAGTGACACGTTAGCTTCGCTATGAACAACCGCTTTTTCTCCGGTAGCTGTACGCAGAACCCACTTAGTTGATACGACCTGGTTGGAACCCTCGACTACGCTGGGTTTTACTATGCTCCTAGTGGCCCCAGTGTCCAAAAGAAACGCATCTTCGTCCATTTATTTTTCCACCTAGGAGTAGACTGGTGCTTCAAGGTCTTCGTAAATGCGATAAATTCGGGGTCTTTTTGTCCGTGGGTCAACGTTTGCCCCGTTACGTTGACCCTATCTAGTTTTCCTGCTGTTGACGTCGAGTACTTGGGGAAGGAGTACTTTTCTTACATTGCCTCCTCGTATGACCTAGTTCGCCGCAATTCCAACATCTTAGCTTTCGAGTTTCTTTATCGAACTTGGAGATGATTCGGCAGACGGTTTCTTCTAAAGATTCTGACGAATCCGTTTCTCCACACAGTAGCCGAACCCTTCCCCGTTTGCTATAGGCCCGTTTAACAGTTTCGGACTCCAATGCACGAACCAATGCATCAGCCAGCGTCTCAGGTCGGTCAAGGCGTATTCGTTGTTGAGTGTCACTGTCCCGAAGTCCATCAGTAAATGCCTCCACTGCCAACCTTTCCATCAATTCTGGAGTATTAGGATATGCCAGTCGAGACATCTCGCAATATCGGCCTCGAATTCTTGTAGGGATTCCGTTGGTTTTGTGCTGACGGGTTTTCAGTTGGATGTGGTACACCGCTGTTAAATAAGCCTCGCCGTAGGGCAACTCCAACCGTTTTACCAACTGTTCATAATCCGCCAACTCTTCCGGGGAAAGGGTGTTCAAGATGTCACATGCATCTCCACGAAGCGCAACGGTCAACGCAGTGGCTTTTTCTTCAGGCGCCCAGTTATTCGCCTTAGCAGCCGCATCGAATTGCTATGGTATGTGGTCCATGAGGACATTCCGTCAAACGTTGGTGGTTTTACTCGTGTTCTTGACTCTATACTGTTTCCTTGGCTGATTTTGGCTAGCTTCGTCCAGTGTACTAGATGCGCCAATATCCCCTTCGATTGGTTTTATCTTTCCATTAAAAATCAATTGTTCCAGCACTTTTATCTTCTCTTCTGTTTCTTGAATATTCTTATTAAATTTAAACTTGCGCCATGCCACCTTGCCGTACTTTCCCTTAATAAACCAATCTGACTCGATAAAACATAATACAATCCAACCCAAGTCAATCCAGCGCAATCTAAGCTAACCTAACCTAAACTAACGTAATTCTCCAAACTTCTACTGTTTTCTTCCAATTTATTTTCCAAACTTTTACTATTTTCTTCCAATTTATTTTCCATACTTTTACTATTTTCTTCCAATTTATTTTCCAATCTTTTAATATTTTCTTCCAATTCACATTTCGAATTTTTATTATTTTCTTCCAATTTTTCTAAACTTTTCATCATTTGCGACAGTTCGTCTTCAAAAGGGAACGTTTCAGGACCATGGCCATTCTTTTTCGACGTCTCCGCGAGCCGCCACTGAAGTTCTGCTTTGTTACCGCTTGTCGCTTCATCCCGTTCTTCCAATTCTCTTCTTAACTCGGCTACTTTTAATTCGTACAACTTCTTTGCCATTGTAATGTCTTCTACTCAACCCCACACCTGACAGCAGTTGTAATGTTCGTGGGTTTAACAAAATTAACCTTTAAGACTGCTAACGACAAAACTATTTATTTACACTAATTATTAAGGAACTTAAAACTATTAAATTATTACTAAACTTAGGTGATGAATTATTCTGTTTATTTATACGACTGTTGATTTATCACTATTCACTGCGCTATTTATTTCTCGATTCACTTCTGCAACGGTCAATTTATTTCTATTTTCTCGGCGATCGTCTCTTCCTTTAAATACCCTTTTGTTTTCTTTCTGGAACCCTCTAGAAACATCCAGATCGTTTTGTTTTCCTTTGAACTGTTTAATTGCTTTCCCAGAACGCAGGTACAACTCACATATTTACAAATACGGCGCACATGAAGAAAGGCGCCCGCGGCTAGTCGGCGAATCGATAAGCTGTTTACGCACGCGTGTGCCCGATTGCACACAAACACACTCGTGCTCGCTATAATATGTTTAGCGAGCTTTCTAAAATAAAAAGGCTAAATATATGATGTTTTGGTATTTCAATTATCTATATGTTCCATCATATAGCCTAGTCAGGTAACTTCAAATTTTGCACAATGCTTTCTTATACAAAGGTATCATCCATTATAAAATTATTTTTCAAAATAGCACCCCTAAAGAGGTTTAGTATAAAAACATATTTTAATACAATATTAAAATCTAAAATATATTTAGTAATATTCCTTATACAGTAACAGAATTGACACAGAAAGTGCTTTTAAAAATTCAATCTTTAAGAGGTCAAAGCGGGTTTCAAATTTGAAATATTAATGCACAGCCGAAACAATTAGGTATAGAAACAATTATTTTCTCCAAAAGTTCCTTACATCATATCGTTTGCATACACTGTACATTGTAAATGTTATTGGCAAATTTCAATCCCTAAGGTGAGATGTGTTTAAAAATTGAGGCATAGTTACCTCAGACAAATAGTAGATTGACTTTTAAAGTACCTGTTCTTTCTTTACCACATTTTATTACAACGCACTGCAAGAGATCTCTTCGATTTCGAATAGTTAGCATATACTTGCAATAATTTTAATCCGCTCCAGACCACGTCTCTGAGGTACTCATAAGTAATAAATAGTATCCTACAGTCTGTCGTCTATTACCCTTGTTAACATTTGTAATGCTTTTATCTTTAGATATGGTTTTATGATGATGAAAATAAATCTGTTTCTAGGGGTTGTGTTATTTTTCTGTACGAAAATGTTTAATGTATTGTTGGTTAACTTTTCAAATAACTTTGTTGCAAGTCGTATATTGATTTTCAAAGTAAAATTTAATTTATGATTTTTGAAATTTTTCCTTTTTTTGAAGTTGAATTTTGTAAACCTTCATTTAATGCCCTAATTCTAAAATACATCCGTGACCGAAAAAGGAGCCTTTTACAATCCTCAGAATAAGGTACAGCAGCACTGATGTTAAGCAGATTTTGTAAAAAATGTTTTGTAATTAATAAAGTGTCTGAAACTGAAAATATTTTTTCTAATTCTTGCATATGGGCCATGAATTCTTCAGATGGCTTGCATAACCCTCCTTCACTAAGATGAGACGTCCATGTGTAATCTTGAGGGAGCATTCTCGAAGTATCATTTTGGTTAACTTTATGTCAAATATAACCTGCTAGATGTTCTAGGCCATCATACTGAACATCAGTTAATTTTATCGCAAGATTATTTAAAGGTGTTTCACAATCCTCATTTACTCCAACTGAAGAAAAGATAGCCCCACATAGATTAATTTCAGCAATATTCATACCTGCTGTATCGTCATTTGTGACATTCATAAAGTCTGAAAATAATCCTTCATTTCGACCCAGAATGTAAGACATAAGCCTGTATTTAAATTCTAAGGCATCTGGATGGTCACAGAGTCCTCCGTTTGCCCGCATA